AGCAGAAAAGATATTTCATCAAATGTAAAATAATGAAAGGAGAAAGGCAATAGTTTTCGCCCCAGAAAATAATTCAGAAATAGAAATGTATGTTGCATGATCCAGAAATCCTACGTCAACTTTTCTTCAAATTTAATCTTTTATCAAAACATTACACATGTATACAAATCCCTTTCTATTCCAAAATAATCGTTGCAGGAATCGAGTAAAACGAGAATAAGAGACGCGAGAATGGCCAGTGATCTAAACCTGATGTTCCTTTTACAGGAAAGCGTTCTATACAAACGGCAATACAGAGCACATTTGGCAAGAGTTTCAAATATCCCGCACATTGCACGTACATTGTTATCAATGCACTCACGTCGGATGCAGGAGGGCGTCAGTGTTTGATCGCAATAAAACAAGACAGCAAAAATCTTGGTTACTGAGTAATTGAGAACAGACCACTTGTGTAGTCACATGAATGAAACAAAACCTCCTCATGCCAAGATAAACGACCCCCTGTAATGGAGTTTAAAAAACGTTTAAAAGACTGTCTCTGCCATTATTTTATTTTTTACAGTGTTTTTGACAATGAGTCTCAGACTTACACTACATAACATATGGAATAAATGATGATTAATACGTCAAACATATACTGTATAAGTATAATCTTAAGGCAATACATTCGTGCAATATTATTATTGGATATGAAGACATTAGTTATCTCTGTGAAGCAAAATCATTCTGTTATTCTGTTAAAACAAATGTACGGTATAAATACATTTAATCTTTTTACACCACAACCCAGTATAGCCAACTAGCGGAGATAGAGCCAGCTGTTTCTGTATGCAGCGTAGGTTTCTACGTGTAAAAGTTGCGAGTGATTAAAAACCCTATTAATTCAGCATACAGGTAATGCAATTCATTGCAAAACAAGTTTTAATTAAACTTAGTTGGATGCTGAAAGATCTGTTCAAACCCACATATCTAACACATAAATGAAGGAAACGAACTTAGCTTGAAGGTGATAAATGAAAATGTTGTTAAAGTACATAAGTCATATTGTTTGATGATTTGGTTGTTTTGAAGTGCATCGACAAAATAAAAATGTTTCTAATGACTCTTCTTCCGCTACACACGCTTTTTAAATTAAAATACTCAAATATGCTTAATATAATGTCTTACAAAACAAATGTATATAAATGTTAAATATTTTAACTTTTATTTTTGATTTTATATAACTGGATTGTATTAGAACAGCACAACTATATACATTAAAGTGTATAATACTTTAAAATATATTACGAATTAAGTGTTTTTTTTCCGAACTGATCATTTCCAGAAGCTTTTAATAAATATTGGGAAAGTGAATTTGAGCCAGCTTTGAGAACTGCGGTATTGCTTTAACCTGCTCCCGGTTGTTTCTGACAGCCATCTCATTTGCAGGCATTAAAGACAAACACAATAATATATATATATAAAACGTTTTATCAATTACTTGAATTTCTACAAATGAAAATTTTATGAAAATACATTGAAGTGGATTCATCATAGGTAATTTCTCTTTGTATACATGGTATTTTGGTTTCAACTGTGCTCCTAGTATTTTCAGGAAATTAATTCATACTACAATAGAATAGTTAATCTCGTGGAATTATGTACACTGTACGAGACTTTGATATATATTTCTAGTTCTTTTACAAGTCTGTATTCACAGACTGTATTCTGTATTCACAGACTACGGAAAATTACGAGCTCTGTAGTCAAGTTACTCTTAAGACAACTGAAAAGCATCGCGACTGAATTGAAAAGGACGCGGTTAAAGTTTGTATTGAACTATTCCTAATTCAAAAATCAGTATTTCACTTTTCAATCACGGCGATGCCAGGCTTTATTTTAAACGTCTGTTTCAGAGAGATACCACCTGTTGGTCTTTTCGCGTTTCCCAGATTTCACTCAACTATGAGTATGCGGACATTGCAATAGTACAGAGGAAAGATGATGCATTAGGCAAGTTTCACCAGCATCGCCCGATTACAGTTTTAGAACAAGACAACATACGCACGTTGTCATTCCAAGTCTATATTGAAAACGAATTGAACGAGTCCCTAAGAAGATCGATTCCTCTGCAACTCCCCAGTATACATACACCCCACCACAACCCAAAAAGGTTTTCTCCCAAGGTGAAAAAATATCTATTTCCTGCTTATACACAATTTTTCGATTCAAAATGAATAATTAAATTCCACATTTATTCGACATATACACTGTTACGGTAATTTGAAGAGATACAGAAGTTAATATTTACCAGTCTAGTGTGGCGGTCCAACGAGGTTACAGATGCAACTTTCTCTCAAAAGTTTGTAAGACGTTTTGCAGTACACTGCAAAAGTCTTCGAAGAGACGCATTCAGTTTTTTGGAATGGTTTGAGTTCATGGAGCTATTTTGATGTGACTTCTGAACAGAGCGAGAGGCTGAGCTGTCGCCAGTAGTGTTCAGCTGTTCTAGAGTTGCATGTTGAATGCCTGCAATGATTCAGTAAGACTCTTCTCACACTCTGTCCTGCGGTCTCCTCTCAAACCGCCTCCTTATTGCAAACCAAACCCTTCTTCTTGCACATGCGCAATAAGCGGCCAACCCCCGTCCAAAAAAGGTCTTTCTCTGAAATCTCAACTTTAAAACATCAGCTTTCAAATCCTGAACACAGGAGCCAAGTTGCTCAGTAGATACATTGTGGTAGCTTACATGTGCAGCTCACGAAAGAAACGCCTGAGCTGAACAAATACTCAGGAATGGAATTAGAACACTAGCTAGATATTACGTGTGCTAATATGAATATGTTAGTCACAACTATCTTAAGTCTAAAAGTTAACATTTAAATAAACCTACATTAAAACGTAATTATTATTTGGTTATTTAAATATATATATATGTATTTTGGAACAATAATTGATTCAGTTCAGGTAATATCACATTCAGGAAGTTCATATGACTCGTTGCTCGTTAGGTTTTATAAGCATTAAGAGTCACGGATACTGTAAAACGTTATACAACAGTCCAACATATTCCGCATATTAATGTATATTTCTCAAAAGTCATTTGTGAAATCGCAATAAATTCAAAAGTTTAGCCTATCATAATGTGATCAATTTAAAAAATGGAACTTGCTATTGCTTTACAGAAGCAGACATCTAAGTTAATGGGAAACGTTTCAGCAATTCGTGTCCGCGAAAGTTTAATCCATATCTGTGAAGCAGTTAACCAGGTGCACTGTCTGCAACACATTTTTTCTATAAAGCAGAATTTTTTTCTGTACTAATGTTAACAATGCTGACTGCATGTTAACATGCAGGGTATTTAATAACTGGAACCCAACCTAATGTATATGTTTATACAAATAAAAATGTAATTTTTGTACAGTTGAAGCGCTACAAAATTTTCTGAATTCTAAGAACAGTAGTCTATTTTTTTTCTGGAGCTTTACACAATCAACACGTTCGGTACATCCTCTGTATGAAACAAGATATGTGAAATCGGTATAATATAGGATATTTGAAAGGTATAGTGTAGAAAGGATGGGCATTTTCAAAAACAATTATAGTGGCGTTTTTCTGAGTTAGAATACCGTGACTTTAGGTGAACCCCACTGTTAAGACATTCCTCCTTTGCCTTAACTCACTCAATACAGCATAGAATAGGCTGCTATACGTGTAGGACTAACAAATCAAACCTCGCTTTACAGTAATTAATGTAAATATACAACTGTCACTTTTACTTCGGAACAAGAAGAAAAGAAATGGTGCACACGTTTTAGAGCATTTAAAACCATTATTCAATTTGTCACCCCCGCTAAAATGAAGATAGATCTCACATCCGTGAATATTGTTTTACCACAGTTTAGAGAGGTCAAGTTAAAAAAAGGAACCTCATTAGCCCTATGTAAGAAGAAACTTGCAGAAGTCTTGATAGCCTAATTAATTTTATTTTGTACAAGTTTCAGAATAGATTGTTAAAGATATTTATTTTTACGAAGTGATTATTTTCATAAAATCGGAATGCGCCCAGACGAATTGCATGTTTTGTATTAAGAATAATTTAAGAGCATCGAAAATAAAGGACTAGGCAAGTTTATGTTCCAAATAAAATTATTTTTAAACAAACCAAAAAAAGGATATTTGTTGATTGTAATTCTTTCCTTTTTATTTACTACTGCATAAATATAATTACTAATAAATTGCAAGAATTAATAAATTATAATCGATTTAATTAAAATGTAGGGTAAACGAAAATTCGTCTGTCAAAAAGTCATTTCATATTAGAACGCTATTAAATAGTATTTCTAATTTATATAATTTAGGATAATTTCATTTAAATAAGGATTACTTAACTTTTCTATATACACATTTACGAAGAAGCTATTAAAGCTGTCACATTTTCGATATATGAGTACACTTTATTTTTGTTTTTTTTTTATTTTAAAACAATCTGGTTAAAAGGATGCCTGTTCCGAATAGCGAGACGTTTTCTAGAATTGATATAACACAAAATCTAGTAAACCCGGTTGTAGAAATAGCCTACTACAAAAATGTCATAGAGAAGTCAGAACAACATCTGAAACAAAATGTTTCAAAAAGACATTCGTAGAGTTGTGATACGCGCATCACAAGTAATGCATTATTATTGTAACAATAAACAGATATCTTGATTACTAATATGACTTGGTTCTTTGCTGATCCAATGCTTTCGCGCAGTTTGCTCTTGTCAGTTGTTTTTCGTTAAACGTAGAAAATATGCCACCTGGTGGATATCTTCGGATTTTATCGACATAGTTTCTATTTTTTTTCTTTCCTTGAAAAGCGAAGAAAACGTTGTAATTTTGGCACTGCTCTCTGTGCGTATACATTTTAAGCACAGGGAAATATATGTTTAGTAAATATTTTAATACATATGTAAACCTAAATGCATCTAAATACAAATTGTAAATACACAGTACGTTAAATTAAATTACACATTCTTTACAATATATTAAACTGGTAATTAGATATTAAAGTGCAAAATAAAATAGGCAGCAATTGTATCCGCAATTGTAGTCATAACTTGACTCTGATAAAGTGCATAAATGTGGTATTAGAGCTATAGAATAATTATTTATCTGTATACAATTGCCTCATAAATCCAGCTAAACTTGGAAATTGCAATTCAGTCGTACCAAGAACTTCCTGAACAGCAGTCACATACTATACAGACGTCTGCGCTGACTGTTACTGAAATAGGTAAGGTACCTGCTGAGTGTTATTTCCAATAAATGTGTTTATACAAATGATTTTAGTAACAGTTCTATGATTAATACAATTAAATAACTTATCCGACTTGTTATTTGGTTGAAACACACGAGGAAAAAAACATCTGTTTACACCGCTGTCTTACTGAGAAATTGAAAGATTAAAGATTATAGTCTACATCTATGTGCAGCACTTTTTATCTGATATTGGCTGTTTAATGATGGTTCAATTCCTGGATTAGGTTGTGGCGCAAATGAGGGTTCGAGGTTGGCAGGATGAAGTAACGGTAGAGAAAAGCGTGATAAAAAAAAATGCTCATATACAGTAACGCGTGGAGCTCGTACTGGTCATGCCAGGATCTTAACCCAGTCGCCTGCGGGTTCTGAGCTCTCATAACGACACGCCAAAAGCTTGGTCTGCTGCTGAGGCAGTTTTACACTTTAAAGGGAGTGACGTCACTCCTGTAACTGTCCCAGGGAAGAGCCCTGTTTCTCGTAGATCTACAACCCATGGGCCTCATCCCTCATGTGCCCCACTGAGACAACATACTGTACCATCAAAATGAAACCGCCTCAAGTCCCCTGGGACGAGACTCATAGCACAGCAAGAGAACAAGCGGACGTCACAAATAATGCCAGTTCCAATCCTTCTGCAACCATTCCAGTGTGGTAGTGTGTAACCAGCTTGTACTCCCATAAACACATCAATTAAGCAATCGGGGAGCCATAGTGCTTTATTCAAATGTACCAGGATAGCTTGTCACATTTGCCATCTCATTTATTGAAACATTGTCAACAGCAACTCCAGTTATTATTATTATTATTATTATTATTATTATTATTATTATTATTATTATTATTATTATTTGGAAAGCACCTTTTCAAAACAGTCAGCTGTAAAAATTGGGTGCAAATATGATACACTTCGGATAAAATCTCAGGGCAAAACAAAAGAGAACAGTAGCCCAACTGCTAAGTACATTAGAGTTGCAACCATACCATTTAAAAATAAAAACGCTGTCCTTCTGTAAAAGGAGAAACAACAGGAAATGCAAGATTGCTTCAAGAGAAGCCCACTATGTTCTTCAGAAGGTCAGACTTTTCCTCACTGTAAGTATACCCATGGAATAATACCTGTGGGGAATGGAAAATTTAGAGTACCCGGTCTTAAGCTTCTGAGAGGTGGTAGGAAATTAAAAAGAAACAAGGAGAAGAACATACAAAAAATGTCATACATCCAGGCACCTACAGTCATTAGCAAACCCAGGTTACTGAAGCTGCAGGGTAGCAGGGTAGCAGTACTAACCAGCAGTACTGTGTTTCTTACCATGGTATTGAGCATTGATTAAAACTGTGTAAACATTATTCCTAAAAATACAGGAGCACATTCATCGATTGGACCTGCTCTCTTGTATTGGCTAGACAAGGTCAGATTACTTGTGTCTATGGAACCGAATATTAGTCCATGCAGCTGCTTTTGAAGAACTGAAATTAATTATTTGCAGGTATTTCTGAGTTACAATTGAATGCCTGGAGATAAACCTTAAGGAGAAATTCCTCAGACATAACAGTAAAACAAGAATTCTCAAAAGAAGTTAAGAATGCACTCTGTATTTGATAAGTTACCTATATTTAGAATGAAGAGCATACTTTCTGTTGTAGATGTGGCAGAAATATCACAATGAAACCCATAAGTGTCTTCTTTTACATGCTACTATTACTAATAATAAATGAGCTTGTTGGGATTTCACCTTTTTTACATTTTTTTAAATCAGATTCGGTCACAGTTTGTCCTCTCTCTCTTCCTGTCTCCAGCAGTCACATATGTACCACTGTAGTTATAGTACCCTTAATCCAGTATGTTATTCAAGCCCTTTATTCCTGTCAATTGGTTCACAATTCCTTCACAATTGCACTTTGACTTTGTATTGACAACCTGAATCTGAAACAAGGTTACTCTCTAATTAATTAAGTGTAATGAATACCATTTCCCTATATTTATTTGATAGCCATTATCTTTTTTCTAAGGAAGTTACAGTCTTTAAGATTAGTGTGATTTAATTTTAATTTGCAGAAGACTCTAAAATGGTAAAGCAGCTGAGCAGATAAGGTGCCATTTAAGATCTAAGATAAGTACTAGGATTGCTTTCACTGATATGCCATTACATGGTATCTAATAGCACTCATGACACGGGTGTGACAACTAATCTCAAAGCCAGAGCAGACAAGGTCTGGGGACACTGTCTTCCTGGTCTGCTGATAA